TTGCTATTAATATTTACTGAATGTCTATATTGAATTCCTCTGGGGTATTATATTATATTCCCCACACCGCTCATTCCTTTCTTTTCCATATAGGCAAGATGCTCATTGCTGCTTTATTTAATATGACAAAAATAATGAAAACAACCTAAGTATTTATCAATACAGGATTCATTTCAAAAATTTACAAATGATAATAAAAACATGAAATTATTTTTAATTTTATTTATTGTTTTTATTTTTGTTTTGTGGAGAAACATCTAGAATGCATTTGGCACATTCACTTTTATGGAGTGCTTAGTACTACGTGCCAGGTACCAGCTCTCCATTGTCTAGCAACATACGTCTGTAGACTCACACATGTGGTTGTCTACATTTAAATGATTACATAAAAGTAAAAACTCAGTTCTTCAGTTGCACTAATCACATTCCCCAGGCTCAGTAGCCGTTGTTCGATTGCACCGTATTGAACCATCCAGATTATTAAACATTCCCATCATCACGGAAGGTTCTCTCGGACAGTGCCACACTACGCCATCCTGTTTCTATTGTGCTTTAACCTGAACATAGTAAGACGGTGGCAGCACTAGCCTTGGAATTCTCTCCATTTCTGCTGTAGGCAGCAGACTTAGTTTTATCTCAGACTCAGCTTGGGGTCTGCTCTGACCTCCAGATCCTTTTTGACTATGTTTTAAGGGGTCTGGGACTCTTCCCTTCTAGCATAGCATCATCACTCTTTCTCCACTGGTCTCATATCTGGCCTCTCCCTCCCTGTCTCCTCTCTCTCAGGTGATCCGCCAGCTAATGAAGAAGGAATTCACCCTGGAGTTCTCCCGGGACAGAAAGTCCATGTCTGTCTATTGCTCTCCAGCAAAATCCCGGGCTGCTGTGGGCAACAAAATGTTTGTCAAGGTCAGGAATCTGAGTGCGCCTCAGGCCCCCTTCTTCCCAGTCCTGAACCCTCCTCTCTTCTCCCTGCCCCGCTCACCGTGCACTGGAAGGAACAGTAGTCTCTGAATACTGTTCTGTTCTCCTAGGGTGCCCCAGAGGGGGTCATCGATCGCTGTAACTACGTGCGAGTCGGCACCACTCGGGTGCCCATGACAGGGCCGGTGAAGGAGACGATTCTGTCGGTAATCAAGGAGTGGGGCACTGGCCGGGACACCCTGCGCTGCCTGGCCCTGGCCACCCGGGACACCCCCCCAAAGCGAGAGGAGATGGTCCTGGATGACTCTTCCAGGTTCATGGAGTACGAGGTGAGCAGACGGAAGCATCCCCTTGTCCCGGAGTCACCTGCCTCACCCCTTCCGCCACCCTTGTCATTTCCTACTTCGTCACGGGGCCTAGAATCACAGGACGTTAGAGTTTGAGAGAACCTTAGGAATAATCCAGTCCAGGGCTACTTGGCGTGTGGTCTGTGGACCCATCTGAGATGAGGTGAGGTGCTTGCTCCAGAACAGAAGCCAGCCAGGTACACTCGGGTTTAGCTGACATGTTTCCACAGTGAGGTTTTCTAAGGACGTGCATCAACCTGCATTCTGGCACTAGCTCTTTATCTCGTAGTGGACCTGCTCTCTGAATAGCACCAAAGCCCTCTCCATTTTATAAAGGGAATGGTGTGGCCTGTCAGGTAACACAGATTCGCTCAAAGTTGTAGACCAAGTGAGCAGCCCTGCTGAAAGAAGAAACTACGTCCCTCACTTCCAGTTCGAGTTCTTTCTACGAAAGACACGATCTGCCACCTACAATGGGCCTGGCACCGCCAGGCCTGCAGGCACCGCCAGGCCTGCAGGCACACACGTGAACATTTCCCACCCCTGAGCTTTGAGGCCCCACTGAGGTTTAAACACCAGGCCCAGGGACAGCTCTCCCCTCAGCTCCCCCCCAGCTTCCTCCTTGACCCTGTCGCTCTCTTCTCTGTCTCCCCAGACGGACCTGACATTTGTTGGCGTGGTGGGCATGCTGGACCCGCCCCGCAAGGAGGTCACAGGCTCTATCCTCCTGTGCCGTGATGCTGGCATCCGAGTGATCATGATCACTGGGGACAACAAGGGCACAGCCATTGCCATCTGCCGACGAATTGGCATCTTCGAGGAGAACGAGGATGTGGCTGACCGAGCCTACACTGGCCGGGAGTTTGATGACCTGCCCCTGACCATGCAGCGAGAGGCCTGCAAACGCGCCTGCTGCTTTGCCCGCGTGGAGCCCTCCCACAAGTCGAAGATTGTGGAGTATCTGCAGTCCTACGATGAGATCACGGCGATGGTGAGAAGACTGGCACAGGGCGGTCTGCTTAGTGTCTATTGAGATGACCGTCTTGGGGAGCTGGGGACCGAGGGAGGATGGGGCTGAGCAGGGGCCCTGGCGAGATGCGCGGAGGGGAGGGATTCGGGCCCCGATGGAAGAGTCTCAAGGAGGGTACGAGGAAGGGGCTGGTGCCCACCTTCTCTCCCTCCCCACAGACAGGTGATGGTGTCAACGACGCCCCTGCCCTGAAGAAGGCGGAGATCGGCATCGCCATGGGATCCGGCACCGCCGTGGCCAAGTCGGCGTCCGAGATGGTGCTGGCCGACGACAACTTCTCCACCATCGTGGCCGCCGTGGAGGAGGGCCGCGCCATCTACAACAACATGAAGCAATTCATCCGCTACCTCATCTCCTCCAACGTGGGGGAGGTGGTCTGGTGAGCAGCCGGGAAGGGCATCTAGGAGGAACTCGGGGCTGCTGGGGGTGACCACAGGCCTGGGAGGCAAGACACACGCGTGACCTCCTCCTTCTGGCAGCATCTTCCTGACAGCTGCCCTGGGGCTGCCTGAGGCCCTGATCCCCGTGCAGCTGCTGTGGGTGAACCTGGTGACAGACGGGCTCCCGGCCACAGCCCTGGGCTTCAACCCCCCAGACCTGGACATCATGGACCGGCCCCCCCGGAGCCCCAAGGAGCCACTCATCAGTGGCTGGCTCTTCTTCCGCTACATGGCAATTGGGGGTGAGCAGGACGAGACCCCACACCCCTTCCCGACCCTCAGGGCTGATCCCCTCTCTGGGACACCAGCTCCCCCACAGCAGCCACTGCGGTGGGCCCTCTTCCTCCAGCCGCTGTTCACGGCCAGGAGGCCCTCTCAACTCCTCCCGTCTCCCCAGCCCTGGGCCCCCAACTCCCATTTTCTCTCCACCACAGGCTACGTGGGTGCAGCCACGGTGGGAGCAGCAGCCTGGTGGTTCCTATACGCTGAGGACGGGCCTCACATCACCTACAGCCAGCTGGTAGGGCAGCACGGAGGGAGGTGGGAGGAGGCGAGGGGAGCAGGAGGGTGGTGTGGAGGCTTTTACGGGACCCCGGCGTCTCCCCTCTCCTCCTGCAGACTCACTACATGAAGTGTACGGAGCACAACCCTGACTTTGAGGGTGTGGATTGTGAGGTCTTTGAGGCCCCCGAGCCCATGACCATGGCCTTGTCCGTGCTGGTTACCATCGAGATGTGCAATGCTCTCAACAGGTGGGGTCTGCGCTCCCTCCCTCTGCGGCCATCTGGAGGCCACCCTCCCCCTGCTTACCGCTTCTCTCCCCTTGTGCCTCCACCCCTGGCTCCGCCCGGCCGCCCCCTTGCAGCCTGTCTGAGAACCAGTCCCTCCTGCGGATGCCGCCCTGGGTGAACATCTGGCTGCTGGGCTCCATCTGCCTCTCCATGTCCCTCCACTTCCTCATCCTCTACGTGGACCCTCTGCCGGTGAGCCTTCTTCTGGCCAGGGGCCGCCTGCCCCCCCCACCCCCACCCACAGGGTCCGCGACCACGACCCCTGCCAGAGGGAGGAGGGCGGGGTCAGGCTGAGGCAGTGGCAGCTCCTGGGCTCCTTCTCACTGCCCTTCCCGCCTCCTCCCAGATGATCTTCAAGCTGCAGGCCCTGGACCTGCCCCATTGGCTCATGGTCTTCAAGATCTCGTTACCAGTCATCGGGCTCGACGAACTCCTGAAGTTCATTGCTCGGAACTACCTGGAGGGTAAGAGCGCGCCGCCCCCAGCCCTGTCAGCCCCTGGGCCCTGACACAGCCCCTCCCTCCAGGCCGCGAAGGCACCTGCCCCGCTTCCTTGTCAGGTGGGTGAGTTCCCGGAGCCCCGGCAGGCCCCGTGTCCTCCGCCGAGGGGTGCACCCGGCCCCTGCCCCCGCCTTTGCCCGCTCCTCCGAGCCCGTCTCCTTGGCGCCCCAAAGCCTCCTCAGCCCTCTTGGTCCCCTGCGCCCACCTCCCTCCCTCGATAACGGTTGTCTCTCTGTCCTCTCTGGCCATAGGATAACCCATTTCCCCCTCCTCCATCTCTCTGAGCCGTGTCACAGGTATCACCCCCCCTTCTTGCCCGTGCCCTAGCTGCTGTGCCCCTCTGCCCACCCCCTCTCCCCCTCAGGCGGCGCCGGGGTCACGTGCCCTCACAGCTCCACCTGGAGCCACCACCACCGCCGCCACTGCCGCGCTTCCAAGTGGGGCTGGGCTGCTGCCCTTACTCTGCGGGGGCGGCACTGCCCAGCCCCGGGCACCACTGTCTGCTGGGCTGCGCTGCGTCGCGCTGGCTGGCCGCTGAGCCATGTGCCGCTGGGGCTGCAGTGGCTGGGGGGAGTGGGGGCTGGGGACACAGGTGAGTGGGGGGTGGCGGGGGGCCTCCAGGTGAGTGTGCTGGGGGACTGGGACAGGTAGGGAGCTGGGAGGGACTTCTCCTCTCCTGTGCCGCCCCGCCACCAGTCTCATCCTCCCCCTTTTCCTTCCAGATCCACAAGATGAAAGAAGGAAGTAACCAGTCCTTTTGCCCTCCCTTCCCCACCCTGATAGTGACGCGTCTTCAGCCAGAGCTGTGGCACAGGCCTCCACCACGTGCCCCCCAGCCCGACATTCTTGTTTATAAACATAATGTCCCCTTCATGTCTCCTTCCCCCTCAGCAACCGCCCCCCCCCTTTTGCCCTTGTAAAACCTCCCCTCCCCGACCCCGTGGGGCTTGCAGGGACAAGGCGACCGATTGAGCTGAGCTGCTTATTTATTGAAAATAAATGACAGAAAAATCTGGCCTTGTCTCTGTGCACACCTTGGGGCCTGGTTCGGGCCCCTGGGGACAAGCATCTTAGTGTCATGCAGTCCAGGAAGCAGCCACCTGTCCCAGGGCGTGTGTGTGGAGGGACCCGGGGACACGACCCAGGGCTCCCGGCCACCACTCACAGCTCGGCTGTGCCTGGGGAAGGGGACGGAGGTAACAGGCATGGCTGTTAGGCTGGGTGGGGGCGGGGGCGGGAGGCTTGGAGCCCAGGAGGCAGCATGGCAGCCAGAAAGCCACAGGGCTGAGCCTGCCCCTCTGGTTTCCAGAGGGGCTTGGGACCCTCACCCAGGTGTCATCTTTGGAAGCAGAAGACCCAGCCGCCCCTGGGAGGAGGCGCTGGAGGGACAGGGCAGCGGTGGCCCCATCACCTCAACCCCAGGCTTGGAGAGAGTGAAGACTCCATCCTGAGACCCCCAAAGCCTCGGCCTCACGGTTCAGGAGTGGAGAAAGATGGTCTCCCCCCAGGGTGGGCGGTGCTGGCCCCTCAGGTGTCCTTGATGTCCCCGACGTCCCTGAGGGGCGCCTCGTCCATGATGCTGCGCACTTGCTCCAGACTCTCTGCCTGGCGGATCCGTTCCAGGCGTACCTGTGGGGGCCGGCAAGGGAGGCAAAGGGCCCTTGGTGGGAAAATGCAGCCTCCACCCCATCGGCCAGCCCCCTGAGGGGCAAGAGCACGGGACCAGTGTACCCGTGTACCTCACCTCTCCCAACCCCCAGTGAAAACGGTTCAAGGGAAGAAATGGATCCCAAGAGAGCAGCCTGAGGAAGGGTGGGCAGGGGCAGGTGGAAGTGACGTGATGAGCACGGGGCACGTCGGCGTGCCAGGCCCTGGGCCACGGGCTTCACACCACCGACAAAGATGGAAGCAGATCTTCAATGTTTTTTTTTTTTTTTTTTTCCTTGCGTTATGCGGGCCTCTCACTGCTGTGGCCTCTCCC